AGAGAGAGAGAGAGAGAGAGAGAGAGATAAAATGAATTTTAAAACTATATATTTAATTGTTTAAAACTTCTCATAAATTAATAGCAATGGCTGTTTAAAATTTAGTCAATTAGAAAAAATAATAATAATAATCATGACCTCCCTATACAGAATACTCGCTGAAGTTCTACTCAGTGAAATGAAGTAAAGATACACAGGTAGAATAGACAATTCTAAGTGTTCTAGGGGAACTAAACGGTCAAAAATAGAAATGAGAATGACCACATATTAAATAGTAGCTGTCACAACAAACTGAATATAGTGACCTGAAATTAACAAAGTGGTACTTAAAGCCCAAAGGCTGGCTGAAAATTCTGGATTTGTTAGAAAGATAACAGAGTCATTGTAGGTTCTTAATTGTGGGAGTGAAAAGATGAAAGCAGTGTCTGAGAAAGAGAATTCTAACAGCTGTGTGTAGGATGAGCTGGAAGGGGGCTGAGACAGGCAGGAATAAACAGCTACAAAGCTGCGAAAGTGTAGACACACACACACGCAGGTTCATTATCCCTTATCTGAAATGCTTGGAACCAGTATTCCAGACTTCTGATTTCTGAAGATTCTGCAGTATTGTAACACATGTGATAAGATATTTGGGGGCTAGGACCCAAGTCTAAACAGACCTATTTATGTTTCACATACACTTTATACATATCATCTAAAGGTAATTTCGCACAATATTTTCGGCGTACGTGCATTCTCACTACAAACTATCCTATGAGGTCAGGTATGGAATTTTCCTCCTGAGATATCATGTTAGCATGCAAAAAAGTTTCAGAGTCCTCCAGATTTGTGGATTATGGATATTCAACCTATACTACAGATATAAAAGCACATGGAAATACAATGCTCTACTTTAGGCAAGACCAAATCTACAGGAGTATGAAGATAGTCAAGTCATATTACTAATATGACTTCAAGATCAACAATAATAAGCAAATAGTGCTTACACAAATAGTGTAAATTTCAATTTACACAAACATTACTAGAATTCACACACTGTCTAAATAGCTCATACATTTAAGTTTTATTACCTGTGGAAAGAAGTTAAAAGGGGTAAGGGATGAAAAGGAAAAAGTATGCACCAAGGAAAATCCAAATAGTAGCAAAGTAGGAAATAGGTAAGACTGAACTTATCTTGAGCAAGATTCCTCTTGACTTTTCTAATAAAAAGAAATCAATATGTTCTTGCAAGTGCAAGGACCTGAGTTCAATCCCCGATACCAAAAAAAAAAAAAAAAGAAATCAATTTGAAATGCCCTAGTAAGACCTTCCCACCACAGGTGCCCACAGTAGGAGTTATGAAATCGTTTATAAAACTGACCACAGCACTTTAATTCAGTGAGACTTGAGAAACACAACTAAAAGAGAACACAAACAATCAACACACATGAATGTCTCTTTTCCAGTCTAGAAAAATGCAGCTCCAATTAATTAAGGATCTCATCATTAATTCACTAAACTCTGGGCAATATACCAAAAACTGTACTGCCAGAAAAATATAGCATCATATCCAGCCTGAAAGAAATGAAATCAGCACATACAAGAAAGTTTAATTAAAGAAACAAATATTATTTATGCAAGAAGAACCAAGAAGACTTTAGGGAATGTGTGGACTGAATATATTAGACACCAGAAAACTAGAACAGGAGGAAAAAGAAAGAGCGGTAGATAGAGGACAGAAGGAAGGAACAGAGAGAGGCCAGTGCAGGACCAAACAAAAGGAGACTGACTGAGGCATAAGCAACTTCAATGATTAGGAGAGCAGGTTTGAAACTGGACTGCAGAAAGCCTTCCTTGCATAGCAGGATTAGAAATATGAACTTTATTCTGCATAGACCAAAAGTTTCTGAATGACGAGAGATGAAAAATTAAGGTTTTAATTAGAAAAATTAGTCTCATAATGATTGGAATATGGAGTAATGGTAAAATAGTTTTAGGTAGACTCAGAAAAGCTACCAGATTGAACTACAGAAACAGGCAGCTATTGCACAGGAATGAGTACATGAAAATTCTCATGAACTCATTCTCATGCATTCAGTTAGAAAAGAAGGGGGAAAACGATCTCTCCCATTCTAATACTAAAACATCCTTATTTCCCAGAACAAACACTGGGTGGGAACTGTAAATCTGTGTTCCGTAAGTCAGCCTCACTTCCCAGATAGCATGAGTGTCATAATTCTAGAGTTAAAAATATGCATATTTTCACACTGCTCCTACTCATAAGTAAACTATTTTAACAAGTGCTCAAAGAAAGAAAACTCATCTGTTCGAGCCCTGGAGGGAAAACTGGCTATGTGGTACTTGATAGAAGACAATGCTCTCCTGTAATTTGTACACTGTGTGAGAAACTGTTAAGAGGTGTTTTGGCCCAATTTTTGCTTCAGAGTTTACAGCCTATTCTTCGTTTACTGCCATTTTTCTTTTTTATCTTAATTACATTAAGCATACTGGAGGTGCCAGAAGTACAATCATTTCAGGCATGGGAAATAACTCAGTGTGGCAGGAGTATGTGAAATACAAACAGGAAAGCAGAGAAAAATCAGAGCAAGAGTAGAGGTATAACTACTGTGGCCTTTCAGACCTGCAGAATGGTATGTTGTGCATTCTAGTAAAGGATTTGTGACATGTACTAATTTCTTATTGAAGCATACGGAAAATTTAAATGAAAATATTTTGCATTTCAATGTAATGATAAAGTGCTCTGTTAAAAACAAGCAAACAAACAAAGAAACCCAGAACACTAGAACACTACATTGCAATTTTTATTAAATGTAGTGACTAATCATTTCCCCCGGGATCATTTTTAGGATTAAGATAGAAGTTATAATATTGTTTTAACTTGAAATGTCTCGTACTATGTAAAATAAGTTCAAGCTGTATTTTGAAATTCTAGTTTCAAAACTGAAAACTATAATGATTTTAAATTTCAAACTGTTATTTTGTAACATTTTATTATTTTCTGACTAAAGTTTCCCTATAATTGTATTTTTATACTCAATTCCAGGCAAGAGATAAATAATACAACCACCAACAACAGGAACATTTACCAACTTGGCAAAAAGCAAAACAATCTTTTGTATTGATTTCTATTTGCTATATAATAAATGGTTTAATTCTCCAACTGTTTAAATGTCCAATTCACATTCCAGAACAATGACTTCATTAAGCAGAAATTTAGACAAGCAATCATTGGAAAGAGAAATAAGCCTTTCAAGAAAAGTCTCTAGAAGCCTAGGGACAAACCTAATAAACATAATACAGAAAATAATACCACTTATCACTAGCTTCTATTTCTAAAAGGATGCTCTAAATCTTAAACCATTGAAAGGTATCTTAAAGACTGATTCACAGAGCAGATGACAATCTATTTACAAAGCAAAAACTACTGCAGAACCATACATAGTGATTCTCTGAAGGTCACAGGAGTGACAGTTGTTACAGAACAAAGGACTAACCACATAGACCTGTGATCAACTGACAAATGACCAGAATCATACAATCATACCTGTATCTTCAGTACAACAAATCAACCTCTTTCTCAGACTTAATGCAATTTTTTAAACAAAAATATTACCTAGTTCCCTAATTTCCAGATGAAAGACAAGAATTAAATTAGAGTTTTTTTTGTCAGTTTCTCAGGCCAACATGAGTTATTTACAAAGCATGTAACTGCTTCCTGAGTCGTGTGCAGGTTCCTTTCCACTCCTGTAACATTTTATTCATGACTATTTGTTTTTACTGTAAGAATATGAATCCTGCAAAGGATTATTAGTGCCATGTCACAGATGGGAAAGCGTGCTTAGTATGGTGAGCTGATTTGGCCAAAATCACCACTACAGCCACAATTCAAACTCACCTTTTTCCATACTACCTCACAGTTGCTAAATGAATCAAACTTACGTAGCTGAATTCACTGCAGTTTCCTGCTATTGCCATTTTGGTCACAGCAAAAACAAATCTATTGCCGATACAGCTAAATGTAAAGGACATGATGTGGCGGAGGTGGAGAGATACTGCCAAGTATCTGAATTCTCCTCTCAGAGGTGGGCCATTTCCCCCTTTATTCATCTTCATGGATGGCAGAGCCCATGTCCCTACATACAAACTAACAATTCTTCAGTTACGCTCATTCTGCAGCATGGACACAGGCACTTAATCTAGGTTCGGGTGCTACACTGTCCCCACCAAGGGCTCTGTAAGAACTGGTGACAGTACGAAGTCACAACAGCAAAGGCTGAATTCAGTAGCACAGGAAACAGCAACACTAAGACTCCAAAGGCAGCAGTGGCAGAGAAGCAGCTTACAGCCACGTTTGTCTCCATACTGGTTTCCGGTTATTTCATTCTAGCTGTGTTTTCTGCTGTCTAGTCTTTCTTTTCCTTTCAAGGCCACGGTCTTCCCAAGAATTCTAAGAACTGATCAAGAGGCTTCCCATAAGTCCCCCTTAGACCTGAATCAGTCAAAAGTGCCCTCTATTGCTGCAGTTAAAAACCATAAGGCATTTAATAAATAATACTAAACAAACATACTTTATGAAATGTTTTTATTTCAGTATTTGATTGTTCTTTTACATAACTTGCTACTGTGGTCTTAACTGACATCTATTTGATATCTGGTAGTATCCTCTAACAACAATAAGGAAGGGAAAAAAATTCAAATCTGTTTTTCTTACCTTTTCAAAAGCAAGACAAATAATAGTCATCCAATGATCATCTTACCAAGGTTAAAAATAAAACTTTATTAAGATTTGTTACCTGTCAGGAATACCCAGCCTCTTGACACTTCTATAAACAGAAAGAGTATTTGCAACATGTCGATAATTAAACCAGAATCGGGATGTACAAACCTAAAGTATTAAAACAAAAAAATAAGTCAAAATATGCTATGGAGTTACAGAATTATTTTTCTTGAATATGACATAGAAATTCCTTCACAGTTTCAGACTTAAAACAGCAAAGAGCATAAAGAACTATCAATAAAATCAAGCTCTGTAAAGAGAAGCCTTCATAACTAATATTAATTTCAAAAGACAACCTTCAGAGAAAACAAATTTAGGAGGAATTTAATCAAGTATTGGACCAATTTACTCTCCATTTCTGTGATCCTATAATTCTTAATTCTAAAAGATTATATTTATATTCTTTAGAATCAAAGACAAACCCCATAAGCTAGAGAAGAAAACCAGCTACTCTGAATTATATAACATCCATCTTGCGCTTGTTTTCTGAATTGTGAGAAATGTAAGGCACACACTAAAACATAACTTGCAAAACAGCTTTATACGTACATTAAAATACACTATAAAGCTATCGAACTAAACAAAAAACAAGAAACAATTTTAACCAAATTTTACACTTTAAAAATGATTGCTAAAAATAATATCAAAGGTGCTAGGAAAATTGAACTCTCTGCTTTAAATGTTAGTTTACTGGAAAACCCATAGGTCAACAGAAAGTGGGCTGCCCACTAAGCACCCTCCTGCCTCTAATTGCTGCCTGAGTTCCAGTGGAATGACAATTATGAGATGGTATAAATGCTCTTGCCCCTGCCAAATAAAAAGGAACGACATGATTTTTTTTATTAAAGCTAGTTTTCATCCCAGAATCTAATAAAGAAAAGATTAAAATTTTGAGCCATATAAAAATATAAAAGTATATGTCAAAAATAATATAAATCCTAACAAAGAAAAAGCTAAAAAAATAAATTAAAAGTCTGATCATCTTAATTTTAACTCAACAGGAAAAAAAGCACTAAGTTTAAATGAGGAAAGGGTAAGAATAAGTACATCATAACAAAAGTGTTAAAAGTGGACAAACAGCCTGTATAATCCCAGCACTTTGGGAGGCCGAGGCACGACGCCAAGTCAATCCCAGCCTAAGCAATTTAACAACACCCTATAAAATAAAATAAAATGGGGCTGTGAAACTCTTAAAATTGCTCACTGAACCTCAGTAATACAAACAGACCTCATTTTCACAAGCAACTTATTATTCAGAAAATTAAGGTAAGCAAATATAAGCTACCAGGAAATACCAACTAATATGACTTATCAAATATTCACTGACCATAATTTTTTAAATGCAAGCTGTAAAACAGGCACAAAATATGATCCATTAGTCTTCTGAGAAAAGAGGGAAAGAGTAGACACAGATGTGATTACACTCACTGGAAATGTCTGACAGGATATACAAGAAACTGATAATAGTAATTATCCTTAGAGTGTAAAAACAAGGGCCAAAGTGGGAGCGATAACTCTACAACTGATTCATTTCCTTGCTGCATTTTTGCTGTCCACTCATAAGTATGGATTTACCTTTTCTCATTTTTATTGAACACAGCAAAAATGTTTTTACAAAACAGATTAGAAAACAAAATGGAACCATATTTTCCTTCTGTGTCCCTCTGTTGGCAAGTTTCCTCAGAGAATAAAGAAGCATTTCACTCATCTCTGGTCATCTCGTCAAGACTAAATCAAATTAATTCAAACTGGGGATAAATTTAGATTGTTAAAAAACTAAACTTCTAACACTGAAGGAATACATTTTTAGGACTTTAAGTTAGACCTGGTCAAATTTCATAATTTTCCAATTAAAAGGCACAATATTTTCAAGTTTCACTTTGCAATACTAAGTCTAATGCAAAAATATGGGGGAAAATATAAAACTTGCTATTGCCACAAAAATGCAGTAACATCCCTTCCTCACCCTCTGTTTTTCATCTGCAATTCACATTACTGACCTGGATAGGGACTTCCTGAGAGGTTTTCCAGACAAATTCGGTTTTAATATGTGTGTAGCACAAGCTAACAGGGTCTTAGCTATATAAAAGCAGCTCTCTAACAATTGAAGTTGTACATATGCAGTGATTCCTTCCTCCACGAGTTCTTCACAGAGACCATCACGGAAGGGACCCTAGTTTCTTGTATATAAAGTTTACTCTTTCAAGGTGGTGGCTTGTGGCCTGGCTCCTATTAATTTTCCTCACTTTTAATCAGTCATTGAAACCTCTCTCCTAATTCAAGCAGCTTTTGTTCAATTACTTCATAAACTCTCTTGTGAGGAGCAGCATATAGAAGTTATTCTTCCTTGAAGAGCAAGAGAATGAGCCATGAACCTATCTTGTCTCATTCTAAACTCAATACAACTATATTTAATACAAACATGTACAGCAACTGTAACCACTCTATTTCTAGCAACCTATAGACAACTATACGCTTTCATGAAACAATTCTCAATAAACGAATAAGGCCTCAAAAATTCTGACACTCTACCTTTGGTTTCAATAAAGTCCATTATGGTCGTATATGTTTGTCCTGCCCTTCTTTTAACTGAATTCCTCTACCCACTTTCTTTACTTTCCCCCTATATTCTTACAACTCATGCTTCTCAGTTTTCTTCTTTTCCAGCATGAATTAATATCAACTTCCTTTCCTGTTTCTCTGAACTTACACTTCATTTCCTTCTTTCTTCTTCCTGTTGCCCCTTACTATCCTTCAAATGTGATCCCTAGATTGTGTGTGTTGAAAACATACTCTCCAGTTTCACACATCGATGGTACCTGGAGGTAGGACCTGTGAGAGGAAAGTAGGGATGGATAACGTCATTGGGGTAGGTAGGGCCCCCCCCAGGTGGCGTCAGAGGCTTTATAAGAAAAGGAAGAGAGAACCGAGCTAGCAGTTCTGCTGTGTCTCACACGGAGATGCCCTCCCGCATCCAGTGAGGCCAGAAGGCTATCATCAGCTGCAGAAGAGAAGCTGGGGGCCTGCTCTTGGGCTTCGTTGGCTCCAGAAATGTGAGCCAAATAAAGCTCTACTCTATACACTACCCGGGCTCAGATATGGTGTGGATATTCATACAAAACAGAGTAAGATGGCCTACCCTTCAGTATGCTTTTCACTTGAGTCAAACCTATTCTATCTTCTAATCATGTAAACATTATTAAATAGAACCCAAATAGTGAGACTATCATCCAAATACAAGAAAAGTAAAAATAAAACTGCATGAATCTAGACAAATTAAAGATGTTAATTCATGCTAACAGGGAAAAAGGCAGAAAAAAAAAACGGACCAATAAACAAGTCTTAGGATCACAACAATGTAAATTAAAATAAAATTTTAATGCATTGCCCAGAAGTCATGAAAGAATTAATAATACATGGTTGACTCAGATTTAGAAAAAGAAACAGTCTTTCTGGAGAGTGATCATGCTCCATGACTTCATATTCTTATTGTAGGAATTTATATTAAAGAGAAAACCAGACAAGTTCACAAAAATGTATATATGAGTATATTCAAAACAGTCAAGACTAAAACAATAAAAAATTTGGAATCCAAATGTTCATGAACTGCAGATTATTGTACACTCACAATACAGAAAATACAGCCTGTGGAAAATATTATATACCTGCACATCTACCAGTAGGAAAAGAATCTCAAGATATCCTAAGACACGGCAAAAAAGCAGGAATAATGATCCCAGTTGAATAAAATCATGTATCTAACTTTATAACTTTCTTCTTTATATGAAAAGAGATAGGGGGTCCCTAACACATGGGCTCTAAAATGTGAGACTTTAAGACATTTCCCTCTATCTTTTTTAATTGAGGTGAAATTCACATATGATTAATCTGTCTTCTTTTAAAACTTCCTGTATAATTTGAATTTCCTACATTTACAATTTACCATTTTTATAAACTGCAAAAAACAATTATAAGAGTAAATCAGCCTAGAGAGCATTTATAAACTAGTATTATCAATAAGATACAGAATTACTGGGCCAGAATTTAGCTCAGTGGCACCGTGCCTGCCTTGCAAGCACAAGGTCATGAGTTCAATACCCCATACCAAAAAAAAAAAAACAAAAATGTAAGAAAACATTTTATTTTCATATACTTGATTCACATAAAAATTTTGAGATACATATCTAACATGAGCAAGATATATCTTTATAGAATGTACTTACCAAAACAGCCCAGTTGTTTGTATGGCCACTTCTAAAAAATTGTTCTGCTTGATCCTGTCAGTCAAAAGCAAAATGATTAAGAAAAAGCCACAATTTCCCAACATAAAGACAGATAAAAGACAATTAAGATTCACATAAATTAAGATTCATGTAAGTTTATGAAGAAACTGGTACCTGACCTTATGAACAAATAACCAAACTTGAACTGGAAACCAGTTTAAGATCCAATATTGAAAAAAAAAAGCCCTGAACTAGAAAATCAGAGGTGTAGGTTTCCATCTTTAACCATGAGACCATGATTAATCAGAGTGACCCTGACTGAGGTGTGGTATAGGACTTGCTTGGTGGTATGGTACTTGCCTTGCATGCACCAGGCCCTGGACTGCTCAAGCCTCTTTCTGTGCAGAATGAAAGCAATGCCAGCCCTACATCACAGTATCATTTTATAGGTCTGAAAAAATATGTGTGGGAGAGCTTCTGCTTAAAAATGATTAAGCGTTATACAAATGAAGTATATGGATCACATTTCACTATTTCCTATGCCTTGCGCACCACTGAAGAAGTAAAAGTTGCTCAATAGAGGACATAGGATGTCTGCTTGGAAGTTTAACCGCCCATTATATAAAACCATTATCTTACCTACTACCTTTCACACCGTGATTTATTTTCTCCATTGTCTTTATCATCCTCTTATATTATATATCACTGACGGATTTATGATGTGTGTCATTGTCTCTTCCCGTAGGATACAAGCTTCACTAGGACAGAGCCATGCACTCAATTACATTGACTAATGTGCTCCAACTTTGGTGCACAGTGGATTTTGAGTATTTTTTAACAAATGAATACATGGTCCTCATGTCAGTATTGGCAGTGGGCAAAGCAAGAGCATCTCCCAGAGAACTGAAACCACGTCGATGTTGGAAGATGACTAAAAAGGTGCTAAGTAAAAGTTTTAACATAAAGCTGTAAATTTCACAATTTCCTTCTAGATTGTTGCAATCACTCTCTACAATGAGAAAGTAAGATGAAAATGTCCATGCAAAGAACCTCTCAGGATTAATATTTCACTTATAATCATAAAGATGGTTTTCATCCCCCATGAAATAAGACTGCTGGCTTGGAACAAAACAACTCAAATTTCTCAGGAAAGTCTTTTTTGGGGTGTGGGGGGGTACCAAGATGGAACTCAGGACCTTCCACTTGCAAGGCAGGCGGTGGCACCAGTAAGCTAAATCCCCAGGCCTCACGGAAGTCTTTTTAATCCTTTAATAATCATTGCTGTTGGTTTTCTAAAAATCTTCGCAATTATGCTAACTCCCTCTTAATATTGGTTACAAGGTTAAACATTAATAATCAGACAAACGTGCTGAAGCAGCCAGAAAAACCACTGAAGATTTTGTTTTTGCTGGGCAAAATTATTGGAGGGCTATTTGGTTTTTAAACATTTTATCTCAAATGCAGCCAAGTCTTCAGCATAGCTTCTCATTTTCAATTCAATTTTCATTTAAAATTGTGAATGATTTATTTCATGTCATGATTCCCTGCATGAAAATTCACATTTTTCCTGATAAAACTGCATTCAGTGTCCTTTCCTACTATATGTTAGATGCTTTATTTGAACTCCATAATATATCTGATTGAACACATTCTCCAGCATGCTGCCATGTACCATTTCAGAAATCTGTGACAGTAAGTCTGGATTCTATATGTCATTCCCAGACATAAAAACATCATCATCCAACACCACCTTGACACCTGGTAAACATGTTTTTAATTACATAAAGTAATTAAAGTAATAACAGATCTAAACCACAATGATCTCAGATCGGCTACCAAACAAGATTAACTACTAGAACAGTCAGAATGCCTAGATTCAAGTCTGGCTCTCTTACTCAGTAACTAAACAAACTTCTGAAAGTTGCTAAATTCTCTATGCCTCCATTTCCCCATCTATAAGATAGTAATACCATCTGAGTCGCAAAATCCAGGAACAGTGATTGTCTAACAGCTATTTTAATTTTTTGGTTAACAAGAAAGTTTCGGGAAGTATGAAAACTTTTTCTACTCAAATATGTGTCTCCCTCCCCTCCAAACCACTCTCAGTAGCTGCCTAGATGCTGAAGAAAAAAACAGGTTATAGTGAGTAATTTGGGATTCTGAAGACCAGAGCTCAAATCCAGCTGGGGTAACTCACTTAGCACTCTAGACTTGCCTTCTCATGTAGAAAAATGAGACTTGGCCAATCTCCAACGTATTTCCCAGCAAAAGTCCTATGTCGTTAAGACTTCAGTGAAAACTGTGAGAGGTAAAATTCTTCTGCTTGTCTAGAAAACACACTATAAAGTTATTCATCTTCATATAGTTAATAGATCACCTATTATGTGGCAGGTACCACGTAATGTACAATGATATTCAAATGCCCCTTTCTCTAGAGTCCAGAGTTTAGTAAATAAGTCAAGCATGCAAACACATTATACTACTACATAAAATTCAATAATTCATCATATTCATTGGATATCATAGGTCAGCCCCTGTCCTGATTGTTCAAAATACTAAAATGAACAAAATTAGTCATAATATTTGCCTTCCAAGACAAAGAGTGGTGGACACACCTTAAGCAAATAAGGGCAAATTATAAATCCTTTAATAGAAATACACCCAATATTTTTAAAAAGCATAATTGGAGGACCTGAGTAGGATGTTCTCCCTAGAGAACTGGCATGTGGGTAAAGATCTAAAAGATGAAAAAATAAAAGGAAGACAGAGAAAATGTGGGCCAATGGCAGAATGGAGCTGAAAGGTTTGAGAAATGGAAAGAAGTTTAGCACAAGTGGCATTTGAAAGGGTAAAGGAAAGCATTGGAGATGTAGGTAAGGGACTTGTGAGTCATAATAAACAATCTATTCTTTATGTTTTAAGGAACATTAAGGTACATAGGAGTGGCATGGTCAAGATTTGCATTTTAGCTGGAGATTTAGCTCAGCGGCACTGCACCTGCTTCAGACGCACAAGGTCCTGAGTTTGATCTCTGGTTTCGAGAAAAAAAATTTTAAAAATTTGCATTTTACACAGTTACGCTGCTGCAATTCTCAGAACAGTTTGGAGAAAAGAATGGCAGACCAGCTGGGGAACTATTACACCTTCAATGAGAGATAATGGAGAAACAAAGAATACATGGGTTATAATGAGTGCTCTACTACCTAAATATACAAACTACAAAAAGTAAAGGCAAAGGCAAGTGATAGGGAAAGGTTTTAAAGCCTGAAAAAAGCACAACAAATACATAAGTACAAAAAACAATGATATCCAAAGTGAAGTACGTAAAATAATCCACTATGATAAAGAAAGAAACCAGAAGTACTTCGTGCTCAGGTTTTCTTCAACTGACAGCCACTGGTCAAATCTCAAAGTGCTGAAGGTGGTGGAAGGTTTCCAATACAGAGTACTAGCAATGTAGGCAGGAAACAGACTATAATGTTTAGACTTTATTCTGTAAGCAATGGAGACACATTAATAGGACTCAATCAGAATAACCTGATGAAACTTATATGTTATACAGACTGGCATTAATATGAGTATGGAAGCCTAGAGGAAACAACCTAATTCCAATGGTCTAGAAAAGAAATTATCAAAGCATGGATTAAACCAGTGGAACTGGAGAAATAAAAGCATTTTTAAGAGTCTAGAAGACAGAGTTTCACGATAATCACGATGTGGGATAAACACACAATGTGGGATAGTTTATTTAAGTTATCCACAAAACTTCTGGATTAGGAAATGAGAGAAGTGCTCCGCTTTTCATTTTTAATAGCGTAGGATAAGCAAAAGATAAAACTTTAGATGTGTATTTTCAAATGTCTGCAACTAACTAGGCCTCTTAACCAGCTGCATATGCAAGTCTGACAAAGATGGTAAAGACCTAAATTATAACACTGACAAATCACTCGGGCACAGGGCAGTAAAAGCGTTAAGAACCAAGCATCCTGTGGTAACGTTTAAAATGAGGAGGATCGGGCTGGGAATTTAGCTCAGTGGTTCCGCTGCCTACCTCACAAGCACAAGGTTCCGAGTTCGACCCCCGGTACAAAAGGGGGGGGGTCATGCCTCAGAAAAGGAGTGGGTTGGGGAAGCCCAGGGCAAACACCGCACCCATCCTACCCCTATCAATACCAATAGACAGCACTGCGGTGCACTTTGTTAGAAGAAAAGCAGTTGCTGCACTCCGGGGATGACATTTCACCTGCTAGGATGGAATGCACAAGCGTAGAAACAATAGATCAAGTCCTCCTCGGACTCCGAGGATTTGCTTCTCATAATTAATAGATCTAAAAGGCTGAAACACACAGACCCCGTACTAAAGACACCCTTCCCACAAGCACCCCCAGAGTCAGTCTGTTGACTGCAGGCTTCCCGAAGTGCATCTGACATCTGCAGGGTCGCTCACAGCCACGACACAGCCGTGCTCCCAGGGATAGGTCCTCAAAGGAGCCTGACTCCTACCTCGATCTGACTAGCGGCCACGCTGCGGAAAGACAAGAGCAAGAACGCTGCCAGGGTAATCGCACAGTGGCTGAGAAAATAAGCGGTAGCCATGTTTGCCGGTTTCAGACTTCCGGCACCTGGAGGGGCGGGGAGTGCCGTAAAGCAGCGCGGTGGGTCGTTTTTGCGACGCCGTGGCCACCTTCTGGAGCCCCGCCCCTCACCCTGTTTTTGGACCGTGCGCTTGGTTTTGGGTTTCCTGAGCAGCTGCTAACAGGTACATGGAGAGTGCTGACTTTATCTCCTTGACCGCGTTTTCAGTTTTTGTATCGTATTTAAGAAAAAATTGTTGAAAGATGAGGAGGAAAACCTATGAATACACGAACTTTAAGGGCTATTTCCCTTTTTGCATATTGCTGTCAGTTCTTTGGCAAGATGTGATGGGAAAAATAAACTTTTTGTCACAAAAGATAAATTTCGAGAGGAAATATAGGTAGGTGCTGCAACTCAGACTTGAGATATATTATTAAAAGGATATAAATGGGAAGAAAGAGATAGAAAGGCTCAGTGAAGGTCTTTTAGTACCTTGGTGCCTATTGTGTGCCCTGTTGTTTCTCCTCTGTGATGCTTGTTTGCCATCCCTGTCTTAGACCCAGCTGATTGTGGACTGAAACCTCTATGAACTGTAAGCCAAATAAACCCCTTCCCCTTCAAAGGATATAAGCACGAAGAAGTTCGGTTTTTGTTTCTTCTGTTTATTCTGTAATTTTGGAGCTAAAACCTATCTCAAAGAAAGAATGTGTACATGTATTTCACCATTCTCTTTCTATATACCCTCAATTTTAGATTCTACTTTTCATCTAGTATGACATAAATGTTCCCATGCTTCATAATCTTCACAATTTTTAACAATTAGTGGTAACGTGAAATTTTATCCATTGTTGATGGTTTCAGCCAGAGGCTTTACTCTTCTAAGTAAAGCAACTCTTCTAAATTGTACTATGAAAACAATATTTTGAAGACTATCTTTGTGCGCTTGGTGTATTACATCTCTGAAATTGTTTTCTTTGGATAATTTTCCGGGAAAGCAAATCTTGGGTCAAAAGATTTGAAAATAATTTGATAGCTATCCAAGATGTTGCCTTCTAAAATGCACAGTGTTTTCAGAATATGCAAGCTACCACAGAATTATGCCATTTCCCCCCTTAAATAACTCCTTGGCATAAAAATGTTAACCTTGCCAGAGATTTAGCTCAGTGGTGCTGCTGCCTGCCTCGCAAGTGCAAGGTCCTGAGTTCAATCCCCAGTGCCCCCCCAAAAAAAAGTTAACCTCAATATTGTCATACTTGATCACTATCAATATCTGCTCTTTTTATTCATGTTTCTAAACTAAATCTTCTGATATGAATTTTCTATTTGTATCTTCATATTATATTCATAATATTTTCATGAATGGGTTATTGTTAATATGTAGGATATATTTTGTTCTTTTATTAATTTAATAACTATCTTATTTTAATATTGAAATTATTAAATATTGTTTGATGTTTTTAAAATGTTTAATGTTAACTTGTTTAATGTTTTCCTTTTTCTGATTTTAAAATAATACCTGAGAATTATCTTTTTTGTCTCTTCCTTTATAGCATTATTTCTTGTATTTCTTTTTCATAGCTTATGTTATGACTATTAATTATTAGTGTTGGCAGCAGCAACTATTCTCATATTATTTTTGTCTTATAATTAATGGTTTAGCACTTTCCCATCAAGTCTATCTTCAGCTCTTGGATCAGAACACCCATTGGAGGGCAGGGATTTAGCTCAGTGGTTCTGCCGCCTGCCTCAAAAGCGCAAGGTCCGGAGTTCAATCCCCAGGACCGAAAAAAAGAATACCCATTGGAGTGTTAAAGTAAGTAGATTTCTATTTATCTTTGTTTTTACATTATACCACTGGTTTGTCAAGTACAGGATACATGTAACTTCATACCTAAATAAAGATAGTTCATTCCTAATTAAAGAACACATGTTAAAATATGAGATAACATTGTTTCTAATTTGCTTTGTTAAGTATAGTTTGTGTTTAGACCTGAATTCCATTCAGTTGTTCATTAAATTGTAAAGTTATTCAAGTAAGTCAATTAAGACTTACCTTGAACTTGGAAACAGCCCATTTGCCCATCAGTTGGAAACAGAATAAAGAAGATGTTGTTTTTCTATAAAATGGAATACTATTCAGCCATAAAGAATGAGAAATTAGATTCATTCACAGGAAAATGGATACATATTGAGGATATACTCCTAAGTGAAATAAATAAGTCACACATGTGTAAATACCAAATAGTTTCTCTGGTGTGAACAAACTATAATAGTACATAAGATCCTAAGGAGATAATTGACAATGTGAAGAAGTGCATTTTTTAAAACATAAGGACCGCAGGAAATGGATCCAACTTACATTTTATATACAAGTAAATTTGGGTCTATTTGCCAGAGCAATTTTGAAGAAAAACAAAGTCACACATGTAAATACCAAATAGTTTCTCTGGTGTGAACAAACTATAATAGTACATAAGATCCTAAGGAGATAATTGACAATGTGAAGAAGTGCATTTTTTAAAACATAAGGACCGCAGGAAATGGATCCAACTTACATTTTATATACAAGTAAATTTGGGTCTATTTGCCAGAGCAATTTTGAAGAAAAACTCACATAAACCTACTATACATACTTTTATGACCACTAAATACATGTTACAAATAAAATGAGTGGAAAGAATAAATTGAGTCAGGATCAAAACAGGAACCCTAAGAGATTTTTCAAGGGCTTTGTACTATATAGTTTACATGGTACAGACAAGTCTGCTAAACCAATCAAAGTATATGATTTAAGAATTTCATATCTAGCAGCCAAAATATTTCTTTGAGCAAGATTAAATTCAATAAAAGCAGATTAAATGTAATAAAAAGCAAGTAGAAAAAATATATCAAAAGCTTGTATCCTACTGTATTTACACCATTCCATAGTTCTGATTTTGATATTGGACTCCCTTACACTCTGTTTTAGCTTGGCCTGAAATATTTCCCTCCTTTCAGAGGGCCATTTAACAACAGCAATTATTCTGCTGTTATCCGTTTCCATCTCATGACCTTTTAATTAGCTTCAAACTAACCCATGATAAATGTGTTTCGATGCAAAAGTAGGACAACTGCCCCTGAAAGTCTCACTTTGTGAATCCTGTGCTGTGATTAAAATGCCACATTGACTTGAGCATAAGGTCGTGCTTACACAGTTCAAAGACTGCTGGCTCAGTGTAGTTCTCCCATGTCAATCAAAAAGCCACTGGTAGTGTCATACAAAGCCATTTGATAGAGTTTACTTCTCTGTGAGCTGTGATTTTGCTACAACTGATTTTATTTAATTGATTTTGATTTGGCTGGACATTGAGTATGTCCATTAAAGATCTTGTGAGATTCCCTGAAACTTCAGGAACATGTAATAGATATTTTAATTACACTACGTATTATAAAGTGGAACGTCCTGAAAAACCTCTCTTAGGAAGATATTAGAGAGTTGGGAAGGAGCACAAGGGATATGTATTTTTGTTTTGTGGGGGGTTTTTTGTTTTTTGGTTTTTTTTTTTTTGTACCGGGGATCAAACGCAGGTCCTTGTGCTTGCAAGGTGAAGGGATATGTGTCTTTAATAGAAAACTGCTAGAAGGACTTTTTTTTCTCTTTTGAAAGGAAGGTGGGTACCAGGGCTCAAACTTGGGACCTTGTGCTTGCAAGCACAAGCACCACTTGCAAGCACCACTGAGCTAAATCCCCAGCCCCTCTCGAAGGACATTTTTGACAGAATAATGGCTCTTTAAATATCTTTATATCCTTACACATACAATTTTTTTAATGGGTTACATGGTAAAAGAAACTTTGCAAATGTGATTAAATGAAGGATTTCAGGATGGGGTGGTTACATTGAACTGTGTGGGTGGGCCCAGTGTAATCACAGGGGCCCTTAAAAGAGAAGGACAAGAAGGTCAAAGAAGAGAGATGAAGAAGGAAACAATGGTCCAGGCTGAAGGGCCATGAGCCCAGGAATGTGGGTCTAAGAGCTGCGGAAAGCAAAGGAAGCAGTTCTCCCCTGGAGCCTCCAGAAGGAGTGCAGCTCTGCTGGACCTCAATCTCCAGAACTGTAAAATAGTACATTGTTTTATATGAAACCACTAGATCTGCGGTCTTTTGTTAAGGCAATGATAGGAAGCTTAAACTTTTAGCAGTGGTCACCTGGAGACTTGAAAATGAAGACGACTGTAAGAGGACTTCCGCTCTCCATCCTGCGGCGTTACTTCACGCTTTTCATTGTATCGTAGATTTATGTTGCTTCTTCGGTGGAAACAAATGATTATCAAAGTAGGACTAGATAATTTAAGTGAGAAAATGATAGTAAATTGTACATAGGGTAACGTCTCAATTATGAAAAAATTAAGGAAGAAGCTTATTGAAAAGTTACCAGTTTTTATTAGGGAACTGAGACCTTCTCAGTTCTCAGTGTGGGCTTTGTATTTTCATTTAGATTCTCAGTCACTCAAATTATTCATGGCTCACGGACTCTGGGCGAGTGAATTAGTTGGGAACTGAGAACACAGTGAGTACTAAGTTCCAATCCCTTCTCTCAAGGAACTTACATATAGTAGGGAAGGCAAATATTAAATAGATATTTACCCAGATTATTAATAAATTATATTTTGATAAGTTCAAAACAGGAAAAGAACAGAGTGATCTCCTTATGTACCAGGGCAGCCTAACCTAGTCAGTGAATGCTTTCCTAATGAACTTCACTTAGAACTAAAGGAAGAGAAAGGAAATAAAATTTTCTGCCAAAAGCATGTACTACTTTTCATCAACAAAATACAAGAACATTAATATTTAAGATGTTTTTAAAAAATAACTACCACTTCTCTTTCCCTTTGTATCTGGTATCAGCAGCTAGCCAGTGCTGGAAACGGTCTGCCATCTCTGTTGATTTACCAAAATTCAGCTTAATGCTCAGGCATTTTTCTCTCTCGTTCAAATACTTCAGTCAAATGAAATATTTAAGTTAATAAACTGAGCACTAAACAAAAAAATGTACAATAATATAATAGTTACGTAGCCTCCTTGCCCGGAGCTGACATTAGGAAATTATTAGATTTATGGCCTTCTGGTAATCAGTATATCAAAAAGAGCTTTTGAAATGCACTTACTGTTGCCCTAAGGGAAATAATACCCAGCTTCTGTACAAGTTGAAGCTCTTGTGTTTATGGGATCAAAATTAAAGAACAACACAACTGAAGAAACAAAGGAGAACTATTTTTAAATCAACACAAAAGTTATCCGTAATGGAAATTTTTGCAAAGGAATTTGATAAATGAAATAGTTATCATAGAGTATTAAAAAGAACTCCAAACATCTTTTTTTTTTTTTGGTACCAGGGATTGAACTTGGGCCCTTGTGCTTGTGAGGCAGGTGAAGGAACCACTGTGCCAAATCCCTAGCCCAGAACTCCAAACATCTTCACATTTGAATCTTTGTTTATAATTCCCAGATGAGTAGAAATTTTCTATACTATAATTTGATATTACCATTGGGGAGAATAATATCTCTATAATAAATACACATTAGTGGTTTTGTAGTTAATGATTATCCTCACTAGTTAAACCAAATGAAAACATAGAAAGCCTACTCATAAACAGCCTGCCTTCAAAAATCACTAAGTAAAATGCTATCAATTTCATTTTTTTTTTTAAAAAAAGGAGGCAAATATTAGAGTGACACAATGGCAAGTCAAGGAATCCCAGAGATTGTCAGGAGCCACCAATGGCTGAGGATTTGGTGCTGAAGATGAAACCCAGGGCTTCATCCATCCTAGGTGAGCACTCAGCTGCTGATCATCTTGCCAGCCTCTTTTTATAAAGCTGGTCAGTACGTAGTCATTTGTTACAGCCACCCTATAAAACTAATATGGGGTGTAACAGGTGTTTTCATAGCAAACCACTATTTTCAGTATGTATTATGCTATTTTCATTCCTTATTCCTCCACTTCTTTAACTTTTTATTGGTAGAAATAGAGATATGCAGAGAAAATAGTTGGCTTTGTGATATTTGTAACAATGAGTGTGTGTTCATTCAACAAATATTTGAGCACAGAATCAGGATGATTCTACCCACAAGTGACAGAAAACTCTACTAGAAGCAATGAAGCCACAAGAATATTTAATTACCTGGCAAGATTATCACTCCAGTTTACAGTCACCTTGGGGAGTGGGTGCACGTACATACTAGTTGATTCTTTTTAATCGCCTCCTTCCCTCCTGCCTCCCTTCCTCCCTCCTCTAAAGTTCTTTCCCCCATTTTCATTCTTGTTCTTATTTTCATGGTTGTTGTGCAACTCTTGACTTCATCAAAGTCCAAGGGTCCTACAGCTCCACCATCTCAGAATATTTTCTTTGAGAATCTGATTTGCATTTCATTGCAGCAAGATGGCTGCTAAAACACTAATTATATCCCTGCCTTTTATCAGGGAGTCTCAATCGCTTCTCGGCCTTTTGGCTAAGATCAAGTGTATCAGGGAGACCCACCTTAGTAGCCTCCAGGCAGGCTTCCATTTATATTTGTGCAGAATTTGTTCACATGCCTGTTTCCAGACTAACCACCAACAAATGGTACAGTTAGTAATACTTTTGAGTATGTTTAGTATACTTGTTTTTCAACACTCCTGGCCATTGGAGAAATGCAATTTAAAACAATACTAAGATTTCACCTTACACCAGAGAGAATAACAATCATCAAGAAAGCAAAACAAACAAACAAACAAATGCTGGTGACAAAGCAATGAAAGGGGAACACTTCTGTTAGTGGGGATGTAAAGTAGT